CTTATGTTCTTAGGTAAATTGAAATGACACAGTTGTGTGGTGCTGCCTTATGATTAATGTGGGATATGCTAGTTAAATATTATGGCAGGGGTTACCAGCTGGTACTGTTCCACATAGGCTTACAAGCTTTTCTTCTTAGAACGAGAGCAAATTTCTAATCAAGAAATGCTGTATTGTTGTGTTGTGTTGTTATGCAGTGGTCCTTTGTCTGCTATCTGCCACAGCTTATTTCAGTTTTCATTCTGCTTTACTCTTTATTTGGAGCCAATACGTGAGACAGGGTAGCAAATGACTAACTTTTTAAGCAATGTTTAACACTTTTCAATCAGTGATTGCTGACTTCTCTTTGAGGCCCCACATCCTCCTTCACTTCTTGTGAACTTGAAAAGTCTCATTAACTTAATTTCCTGTGCAGTCTGTCTTTATTCTCTACTTTTACCTTTATCTGTAATTTTTATAGTTCTCTACAGCTAGGCTGTATCCTCTGGTCTGATTAAGCTGGGCTCAGCATGGAACCAAGGGAGCAAAGTCGGTTTTATGCTACCTTTGTGACTCCTCAATCCATATATCTCAGTTGTACCTTATTTCAAGAGGCATTGATCATTTTAGTTCCCAAGCTAGCTATGCTGCATACCTATCTGGTGTACCCTCACTTTTATTGCTGAAAGTTATTTACATCGGAACTAAAGAATCATGGAACTGAAGTTATAGCCTGTTTACACTAAAGGGATGAATCCTTCAACATTTTAAGTTTTTGCAAGAGTAATTTTATGTGCCCCTCATTTTGGATCTTTGTCCCACATTTTTCCCTATCTTAAGGCATTTTGAAGGCTGGTTTGGTGGAGGCACAATTTAGAGCAGCTCCAGGACTCAGGACTGCTCTGAGTTGCTCCCAACTTCCCTAGCAGTAGAGTGCAGCTGCTCTCTGGCCACATCCTCTTTCCCCAGACTATGCCTTCCACTCTGACTCTGCCGCACCTGGGGAATCCCCTTTTGCTATGGAATACTCAGGATACCAACTATCCCAGCTTTATGGAGTCTTTATGCTGCTCTGGATCGCTTTTCCACCCATTTTTGGACATATCTGGCTGGGTACACAAATGTCGTTTCGGAAGCCATCATGTCCAGACTGTGAAATTGACTTCTTGTCAGCTTCAATTTTGGCATATGTGCAAGAGCTATGGAAGAACACAGTCACAGCTTAATCTTTTTCCTCCCTTTCCCCTGACCCATCAACTGCTAGATCTGTGACTTTCCCATGAAAAGGATAGGTCAGTTCTTTGGCAACCCCAAGTGAGATTTGATGTGAAAATAAAAAAATAGATTATTCAATGACAGCAGTTGGAGCACGGGAGTGGGAATATATCCTGCTGTCAGGAAACTGAAAGGCCCTGCTTACTTGTGCATGTGCTGGACTGTTCCACCATCTGGCAGTTTTCCAGATGCCAAGATAGATCAGATAATAAATTCATTTTTTTTTCTAGTCCTGAAGCTTAATATTTTGTTATGAGGCAATATTGTAAAAAAAGCTCAAAGTTTCATAGCAAGTCATGCAAGCTAGCTTAAAGTTTGCTTTCTCCTTTGCTTCCTTGTAAAGCAATCAGACTGAAAAAGCATTAAAGCTCTGGCATGTGCAAAGAGCTTATTTTGTTTATTTTGTTTGTTTTGAAGTATTTATAACAAAAATTGCTGTAAGCATTTATAATAATTCATACCAAATAGCAACCTACTGTTTACTGGCCTATGCCAAACGTAACATAGTATTAGGAAGAGATCAGACTGACTTCCATTCTCTGAATCTTGTTTGATAGTATATAAAAAAGAAAATGAATATCAGATACTTCCTCTCAGAGTTGACTCCAATTCTAACTGACATGAAATAGCTTCTGATGAGGAGGCTGTGATGCTGGCAGGCTACCTGCCAGCCAGACTGCAGGCATTAGCTAAGACCTAACAAACTCACAGCTGGAAACCAGATCAGTTTGCCTGTATGTTAATTTTGCTCAAAATAGGTATTAACCTTATAAGAATGTATTTAGTATTTGGACTCTATGAAATGATTGTAAGTTGCTGCATGTATTAATCTCACATGCAATGTCGGTATTCCATGCTATAAGAAAACATGTACGTTTTGCTTTATGTCTTTGAGAATGTTTGCTCTGAACTTGTGAATCCAGGCACAGGACTTGTTCCCTGCCTATCCCAAAGGACTATCAAAATCAGTTGGGCCATCAAGGAACATCACAATAAAAAAGATTGGTTAATGGCCCTATTGCATCAGGAAATACTATGTGCAAGGAAGCTTGCCCTGTGTCTTAGAAGCTGAATGAAAAATAAAACAAAGTCACATGAACATTTTCCATCTTTTTGGCTGTTTGAACTCTGACAGGTTTAGATACACCAAACTGAAGACAGAGATCCCCTGGGGCTGCCTCTTGGGTCCACCCTGAAAGAGACTTTGAATTGATAGATCACTAAAACTCTGGCACTCTTAGGATTTAGATAACTTATTTGTGTGTATATGTTTGGTTGCTTTAACCTGTAAAAAGAAAAGGAGTACTTGTGGCACCTTAGAGACTAACCAATTTATTTGAACATAAGCTTTTGTGAGCTTCAGCTCACTTCATCAGATGCTGTAGCTCACGAAAGCTTATGCTCAAATAAATTGGTTAGTCTCTAAGGTGCCACAAGTACTCCTTTTCTTTTTGTGAATACAGACTAACACGGCTGTTACTCTTAACCTGTAAATAACTTCCTTATTTCTTTTTCCTAGTTAATAAACCTTTAGATAGTTTTTTATGGGATTGGCTACATATATTGTCTTTATTGTAAGATCTAGAGTACCAGTTGATCTGAGGTAAGTGACTGGTCTCTTGGAACTGGGAGAAACCTAAATGTGGTGTGATCTTTGGTGTAAGTGACCATTTATCACTAAGTTCCATTTGTCTCAATGGAAAAATAGTGGAAAGATAGACTAGGGCATCTAAGGGTAGTGTCTTTGACTCCATGGTAAGATTGGAACTGTGATCCAGAAGTTCACAGTTGTTACTGGCTTGGTAAAATCTAATTATAGAATACACCACCAATTTGGGGTGTCTGCCCTGTTTTCTGACACTCTGCCCTGAGGTAGGCACTCACAGCTGTGAGCCACTCCAGACTGCATGACAGAGGCATCGAGGTATGAGTATCCACAGACTATATTTCATTGATGACAGTATGTTCTAGTTCACTTAAATTATCATCCAAAGGACCATAATGGGCATCAGAGGATAAGTCAGGTCTCCCAGAATAACTGGACCTACGTCTACACCATTAATGTCCACAGTAGTCCTCAGGGAAAAACAGTCCTTTTCCCATTAATTTAAATAGAACGGCTTTCTGAAAGATCCTAGCACTGTGGACCCTTCCAGCCTGCACTTATGTCTGTAAACCTACTGCGGTGGCCAACCAAGTCTTGAAGCACCAGGGTTAAATACCCCTTTCTTGTTTATAAATTCTGCATCCTGATGGGAGGGGGCATGCTGGGGTGTGTGTGTCAAATTATAGGCACATAGGTTCTATCAGTTGCCCCATGCAAAGTCATCAATAATCTCTGGAGGACTACCCAGTTTATGACCTGGCTGGACAGCACCTTATCAGTGGCATAGGGCCTGCATGAGAGTGGCTCCAGCAGTTGATCTCCCCATGCAAAGTTGGCTGGCTACAGATCGGTAGCATTCTGGGGTGGCCAGTTTCCAGATGGCAATGGTGACCTGCTTCTCTATGGGTATGGCACACTGCATATTGGTACTACAGTACTTGTAGCTGCAGCTTTGGGTCAGTTCTGCACAGATCACAGAAAAGGTAGTCCTTCCCACTCTGAAGTTCTCTCGCTACAGCTGGTTGTCCCAGGTCTGCAAAACGATCCTCTCCTACCAATCCATGCTGGTTTCCCAGGCCCTGAAACAGTGCTGAATGCCACATGGCAGATCCAGGAACCAGTGCTCCAGTTCCAACGACTTGGCATTGTCCTCTTCTTCTTCATCCTGCTGCAATTGCCTCAAGGTGTTCTTCTGCAGCTGGAGGAGCTGCTGCGTCTGCCACAGAATAGTCTCCTGCTCCCACATCATCTGCTTAGTGGTGTGTTGGGCAAAGTCTGCTGCTGAAGTCATCTGGCTATGGCTGCTGTAATACAGCCCAACTAGCCTCTGCATATTTGTGCTTGTCACCATAGCAGTACGGAGCATTGTTGGGTCCATGCCAGAAGACAGCAATTCAAAAATGGTGTGAAATTGCCCAGAAAGGATGTATGGGGGGAAGACAGTGGAAACATGGGATTTAAAAAAAAACGTGAAATCACCTGGCTTCCCACAAATCACAGCAAAAACAATTCTAGGATGCATGTTGGTCAGCTGCAAAATAAAGGACCATGGGATACTCACCAAAAACTTTATGCCCTCGGTTCTCAGCAAACCACTGCCATGTATTCACACCATGTGAATTGAAAATGGAACAGATGTTCTGTGTGCGCACTATCGGTGTGACTTACGTTCTGCGAGTTACCTGACGCTTGTCAAAAAGCTTTGACTGAACCCTGTGTAGTTAAATCCAAAGTGTGTGTCCATCCCCTTCTAGTTTCATGTTCACGTACAGCCATCTGCTGCTACCAGTTACTCCATTAGCATATGTCAGAATGGACTGTGCTGTGGCTCTAAAGATCGCAACTCTGCTGATGAATCAGGTGGAGGGTGAATATGGTTCTACATTATGACTTTTTTTCCAATTTTTAAGTTTTCTAAAAAATTAGGAAATTATACTTTAAAAAAATATATCCTCTGTTAAAAGAACTTTAAGGTTGCAAAGTCAAGCATGCAGAAGTTTAGAAATGCCAGAATTAAAGTTGCCCATGCAACCTTAATTTGATCCTTCATGCATATGCATTATAATAGTAGTCTTTAATTACACGATCACACACTATTTTTTTCACTGATCTACTATCTCGATAATAACTTGCCTTTCAGAGCCTTTATGGACTACATTTGCTGATAGTGTGGTCAAGCTGAGAATAGATCACTCATGTTCACAAACTCCAATAACAGTTCATCAGATGTTCAAAGAGACTGTGGATAAATATGGGCCTCTCAATGCTATGGCCAGCAAAAAGAATGGAAAATGGGAAAAGATCACATTTGCAGAGTATTACAATCTTTCCTGGAAAGCAGCCAAAAGCTTTTTGAAGGTAAATGTTTAAAAAAACAACAATCCAAACCCATACTCGTTATGCAGGTTTTTTTATTACAGGTCATAGCATGAAAACATTCCTGTGGGTTTTCAGTCCTTATGAAGAGTAGCAGTCGCGTGTTCTGCATAACAGCCTTTATTGAAGTAAATCTCTAGTAACTGTACCATTCAAATATTAATGAGACCCCCTCAACCCATAGTAGAGGATGAGTTTCATCCTGGAATGCCCCCTGGGATTTACCTTCCTTTTAAGGACCATATATTTGATGGCCCCAACAAGTTATGTCTCTTAAATCTCTGAATTGGCTAGCAATTTTCTTTTTTATGATTGACCAAGGCAATGAGAGGCAAATTAGTAAATATTTCTATTTAATATATTATTATTGTTATAGTTATATTTATTATACTATTTTAGTTGTATATCAGACAGATACTAATATTTTCAATGGTAGCAGATGGCACTGATGCCTGTTCTTGCAAAGGTGTTGGCAGAAACAGTGGCAAAGTCAATAGGTGAGACTCCGCTTGTGAAAGCAGTTGCAATCAGGGAGACAAGAGTAAAAAGAAAAGGAGCAATACAGGAGCCTTGGCTGACTATTTTTTTAGAGTCTGTGATGCAGAGTGTTGGCATGGTCTTTAGATTATCTTTGGATGCTAAAATGTCAAGTATGTTAGTTAGTTTTCATTATGTTCTAGAAACTAGTGCATATTTTTCAGAAAGAGTTCAAAAGAAAATAATGCCAACAGAAGTTGGCACAGGTGGCATCTGTCACTATAGACAGTAACAGAGCAGCGCTATATGAACAACTAGGTTGTGCTCTGTTCCCTTATGGCCACAGGAGGGAGGGCACACAGAGCCTTCTCCTCGTGTATGGCCCTAGGTAGGAAAAGGGCACAATCTCAGACCTGGTGCTCCTGAGAATGGGGACTTGCTCCTTGGGGATGCAAATTACATAGAGGGTCATAGAGAGGTCTGATTCATGGCCCACCTTGCACAAGCCCACAGAGTGGGCTGGGCATGCAGGGAGAACATCCTTAAGGGCAGCATGCATATTTCTCCCTGTTCCCCAGGGAACTTGAAGTATAATCCTTCACAGAGATGCCCCAGGGCCATACAGCTCTGCAACACTCCTCATTCGGGGCTATGTACTAAGTCCACAATCTGGCCGTAAGTATAATTAAACAAATCTAACCTGGCAAGGTGAAAAGGATTTAGTAAAGATTCTGAGTACGGGATAAGTCTAATATTTGTTGAACTTCAGTTCATGTTGCAAAGCCCTTCTGTTTTTCAGACCTTCTTGGAGGGACTGGGCTGGACTGGGAAGTTGGGTGTGAAGGGTGGGAGAGTCTTATGTTTGCATGAACTTAGGGAGTGTTAATTGCAGACAGTGATTCCATTTTTATTGTATATATGGTCTATTAATACATTTTGCACTTATGCCTAGAGCTATGGATGGGTACATTTTTAAATGCATAAATAATAAAGAAGCCAAATCTATTTTTTTGTGTGTTGACTATATCTTTCTCTCTAATATGCCTGCATTACATATCCCAGTGTTTGCTCTTTTGTTTTAAGCTTGGTCTTGAACGATTCCACAGCGTAGCAATACTTGGATTTAACTCTCCAGAATGGTTCGTGTCAGCTGTTGGAGCTATTTTTGCTGGGTAAGTTTTGGATCGGTGCTAGGCCTAGGAATGAATGTTTTCCAGTGTAGCATTTGCTTCTGTAGAGTCTGACCATCCCCTCCTGTAGAAAGGGGGAGAAGAGAAACTACATTTCATTCTCCTTGTGCACTCCAAATAAACCACCTCTTTTCTCTTATAGCCCCTAAACATGTTGGAGCTATTATGGCTCACAGTGCCTCTAGGGTTGAGTTAAAGACCCCATAAACTATGACCAGTAGTATTGTTTCATTTGAAAAGATTACCATCTCATAAGTATGTTCAGTCACATGGTGGGGACCTGTTACTTTCCCTGTATCTAAAGTAAAGCAATCCAAAACCTCACAAAATGAGCCTCTTTGCTAAAGCCCCGACTGCAGTAGACACAGAAGATACTGTACTGTCTCTTATCTCTGTTCCTTGAGCGATATGGACCAAAGCCTACCAATTTCCTGTCAGTGCGTCTGAGCCTGCCCATGAACTGATCCCTGGCCTGGTTCCAGTGCAGAATACGACATTGATGAAGTGACAAGCAAAGTATTAACCAGCCAAATTCTGTCTGTCACAGTGTCTGTCTGTCTAATTCCAATAATCAATTTCTCGGTTTGGTCTCTGAGGGTGCATTTATGCCAGCAAAATTCAAACTGGTAATTCACCATCAGTGCAGCTCCATCAGTGGCAGAAATAGTGGAGGATGTTCTGTAAAGAGGACTTAGGCATTTTTCCATTGCATGGTCTAAGGCTACTCTAGGCAACATGTAGGGTAAAAGTGCTGAGTCCTACACTACAGCCTCCACTATTATTGCTTCAATTATGAATTTCTCTAGCTTAGACAAGGCCTTGGGTGCTTCAGATAGTCACACTACCACATAATGTTGCTGTTTTTCAGACTCTTTTCTTGTGTCTGTTACTGTTAGCTGTGCAGAATACCTGGGGCATGCCTGACAGCCACATCTATGCTGCACACTGTGTGTACCCATCCCTTATGCACTCCACTGGGTTTCATCCAATCTCAAATTCTTCTTCCCTTTTGAACAACTGTAGCAAAGGTGCCGACTCCAGGGGTGCTCCAGGGCTGAAGCACCCACAGAAAAAAAAATTGTGGATGCTCAGCATGCACCGGCAGCCCGGCATATCAGTTACTTCCCCTCTCCCCACAGCCCTCCTGCCAGCTGGCGGGCCCGGCCGATCAGCTCCTCTCCCTCCCCCCAGCCCTCCTGTCTCCTGGTGGGTCCCGCTAAGCAGCTCCTCCCCCTGCATCCCCCAGCCTCCTGCCCACTGGTGGCCCCGCCAATCAGCTCTTTCCCGTCCCCCTCCAGCACCTCCCGCCCACCACAGTCAACTGTTCAATGGTGTGCAGGAGGTGCTGGGGGGAGGAGCAGGGGCGAAGTAGGGGCAGGAAGAGGCGGGGCGGGGTGAGAGTTTTTTGGGGAAGGGTGGAGTGGGGGCAACGCCTGGGGCAAAACGGGGGTCAAGCACCTCCGGAAACTGGGGAAGTCGGCGTGTCTGAACTGTAGTATCAAGGGAAAAGTGTATCATACTCAGTGTTTTCCTGCTTAGCCCTCAAATTCACGTTTTTTTTTAACAGAGGAATTGTCACAGGCATCTATACAACCAACTCTCCTGAGGCCTGCCACTACATTGCTTATGACTGCAAAGCCAATGTCATTGTGGTGGAAAATCAAAAACAATTGGACAAGATAATGCAGGTATGGGGGTTGCTTTTATAACTTCTGAGGTGTAATTCCACTGCTCATGATGCTGTGAAAGCCCAAATATCAAATATTTTAGCTGTAAAATGGTAGTTTGGAACGTCTCACAAAACTAGGGACAGAACTAATATTTCTTTGTCCTGAAATCACAGGCCTCTGCCACTTGAGATATTTGAGCTAAAGGATAATCTCCATAGCTATTAAAAAAATACAGTGCCTGTAACACACAACTGAGCAGTTCTCATTCTATCCAGTACATAGCACAGTAGCCAGTTTATTACAGTGTTGTCTGACAAGCCATTTTCTGATGATGAGCATCATATCTTAATTCTGAGTGGGATATCACAGTCTGCTTCAATGCAAGTGATTAGGATGGCAAAAATTCATTGCAATAACGATTTCACTATAGGATTAACTAGTGTAATGATGCTGAGTTCTGATTAACATGGTGACCTTTTATGGGCTGACACATTTCATGTTATTTGGATCTGGATTTCAGGAATCACAGTGGTGACTTCTTACAGAGCAGTTACTATTTCCCAGCACGACTTAACTATCATTGGAGGTTTACCTCACTGTAATTGGAATTACAACCTGCACATTGCAGAGCAATGAAACAGAACAGGGCTTTCATTCAGTCCCAGTGAATTTACTCCATTTAGACTGAGCCAGCTTCAGTTTCCATTGAATTCGGTGGTATACCCAGTTGGTCTCCAATGAGCAAATGAAATAATGGTTAAAGAGGGGCTATCATACCAGAGGAAACTTTTAAGTGCATCCATTTCATAACAGACATCCAGCTAAGTATTAAAGATATTGATGTTTAGAGACTGAATCTTCCCTCTCCAGAACATCATCTCTTCCTGCTATTAATGTTAACTATTGAGGCAGGTATGAACTGCAGTCCAATATCATGGTGACTAACATGATATAAACACATGGACAGAGTGGGAAGCTCTTTATTTAAAAGGAATGTGTCACAATTTTGGCAAAACTTATTGGATGCTACAAATGGGACCATGCTGCTTCTCCATATGGGGCCTGATCCAGTGTCACAGGAAGACAATGTGATCTTTCCACTGACTTCAGCGGGCTTTGGATTGAGCCCAAGTGAACACATTAGGTCAGGTGTTTCTTTCAGTGGTATGCTCGAGAAGGCCCTTGGGGATGGAGGAGGAGAGGTGTCCCTGAAGTCCTTGCTGAAAATGAAAAAGTGTGTTGATTGCTCTGCCTCTGATGGAGTTTGCCCCTTCTCTGGATACTCCAATAAAGTCCCTCTGGCCAGAGATAACATATTCCTGGGGCTTGTCAAACATACTTCTGAGGAGTCTTTTTTTTTATTATTATTTTGGAACGCAGCAGATTGCACCAACTACTAGGTATATTTTGTACATTTCAGGAGATAAGATACTCCTAAACAGGGCGTACATCCAGACAGACACTCTAGTTTGAATACCATTTACACTAGTTGAATACCATGCTATACTGTCAAAAGCAAGTGAGAAAGGTATCTGAATCCTGATGCTTGTTTCTTTTTGTCTATACACGTTTTTATCTAGAAAGTTAAAAGGAAGCCTGTGGCCAACCCTGTTTTATCCAGCTGAACATTTTCTGTGGTGCTTTTCCAGGAGAAATCTGCCTCAAACATAATACAGATGTCTTGTTTTTAAGCCTGTGGGTTTATCATGCTAGTAATACATGGTTAGTTTGGAGGCCTAACCATTGCTATCCACACAGGTACAGTTTCACCAGTTCAGCTCTCCATGGTTCAGGTCAATAATGTAGGTGCGACTTTGGCTGTTAGTGCACCATGATGCAATTAAATGCTTCTGGCAAGGATAGGCAAAACTACAACAGGGGAAGTGAAAGCAGCAGCACTGGTATCTAGTGGTGAAACTAACCTAACATTTTTACAGGCTAAACACCAGCTAAGTGTTCAGATACAATAGCACTCTTTCAATGTTTTCTATTTCTTTGAAATTGCCAAATTGCTTTTATTTTTTTTAATTATATATGTTTATATATAAAATGTTTAAAATGAGGCAGAACATTATAAAAAACTTAACCAAGGCTTGGCTACTTTAGAGACCATCTCTGTCTTCATGTGATAACCACAGCAGCTGTAATCCTCTCACATCCCACCCTAAAAGCATTACTCTCACTGGTTTAAATGCAAAGAGGCTGGTGGCAGGTCATTTTAAATTAAGGTCCTCAACTCAGGAGGAACCTTAGTTGGAGCACCTTGGTCCAACATAGCATGGGTATAGTCTCCTCCAGAGCATGCTGCAAGGCCTGTGTGTTTCCCCAGGGGTGTTGGGATGAACTGGGTCTGAGTAGCTTTAGAGAAGAGTACTGTATTATTTATGGTGGGTTTGAGGGTTTTTGTGGATATCAATCTAATTCAATTTTTGGAATCTTTTGATAGACATTTTTAATTAAATCAGAAACAAGTGAATAATAAATTATATGCTGTTTTTTTTTTTTAAAACCCCAACAGATCTGGAGTCGTCTACCATACTTAAAAGCAGTTGTGCTATACAATGACTCTTTATCAGAGAGACATCCCAATTTATATACGGTATGTGAATTTTAGAGTGGTGTAAAAATTCATTCATTTGATGTATTTCACCTTCTTTTCTGTCTGTGGAATGTCTGCCAGAGGATAACAATGTTTTCAAATATGTTTGCTCTTCAAAATACTTCAGTGTAATTTTTCATTAATTTAATTTACTCTTCCGTTTGTTTGATAGTGGATATTCAAAATTAGAGCTACATTGGTTGGCTGGCTTGGTCATGTGTTATGTTTCAGTTACTAGATTGGATTAACATAATATTTACCAGACTTCTGGTGAGACTATACTCGCAGAACTTTTGTTGTTGTTGTTGTTTTGTTAATACATTGTCTGCCCAGCTCTAGTGAATTGTGGTAAATTATGCTGGATCTGGGAACTAGAAAATGCTTGTGCTCTCACAATCCATTGTCAATATTTTGTTGTTTATGGAACCTCCTATTCTGCTAATCTTTGTATTTGTAGCAAATATTTCTATCCATAAGCAACTGTTGAATACAAGCAACTATTATATATGCAAAGAATAAAACACTAGTTCTAGTGTATTCAGGGTCTTCTTTAGCTCATGCAGTGCTTAGACAGCAAGATTAGGGACAAGATTAAGGATCAGACTCATTGTCAACAACAGGCCCAAAATTTAGGTTTAAAAAATAGGGTTTTACAAAACCTAACATGTGTAGAAGAATTTTCATTATTTATTTTTTAAATGTCACTGAAGACAATTTTCTAATGTGAACATTGAAATCAGCATTCTGCTTGGAACTGACTGTGAATTAACAGTGTAAATCCTCTGCTGAGTTTCATTGCCCATGCTGAATGAATTGCAAAAAGACTACACAGCATTTAGTAGAGAGTGAATAGTAAACAAATCTCTTAAGGCTTCAGATATCAAAACTGAAAGTATTTTACTGGTAACAGAAGTGAGGAGAAAATGTTTAACATATTTATGCCAACATTGTTCCTTCTCTCTGTATTGATTTTCATATTATAAAACACTTAACTATACAAAGGCACATAGATATCAAGAGTGTGCTATACAAAATGCAGAGCAATAATAAGAAAAATTAATTTGCTGTGTAAAGAAGCGCTTATTTAATCATATACATTTGTTATTACATAACAGTAAACAGTAGAGATGAACTCACACTGAGTTCCAAGTGTCTGAGAACTTTGAAAGAGATAAATGACCTGAAGTTTATATTTTCTAATAGTGGAGGACAAAATGTAACTGAAAATGCTACTGATCTAGTGACAGATCTGCCACCTTTTTTCAGTGAGAGAGCATAATTGTTACATCAGTTGTGATGATAAGAATTGGCAGTTGCCATATTTGTATTCCATACAGAGACACTCAGAGATCGAATCACCAATGGTAGAGATAGTTGTGCATTAGTTTTGATAAAAACCCAGTCACATAAAATACAGGCTATTGATAGGAGAAGGTTTGTGTGTAACAGATTGATAGTTGAGATAATTGTACAGTAATGAGCAGTTGCTTCAGCTACGACAGACTCCTAGTCCTCTGGACAGTGCATTTCCATAAATCTGTGTGACTTTACCCTTCAGTCTCTGTGGAATGGAAACACTATCCTAGTGCAGGTGCTGTTCAAGTAAACAAAGCCTAGGCAACAGGCGCACAGAGATTAATGCCTTGTGGTGTGAAAGAGAGTAAGGTCAAGAATACAAGGCATGAAGAGTCAAGTCATATAGGAACAAATCCGGACCCCACACCATTGCCAGTTGCTGTGGCATTGATGCAATCCACTATGTGGGGAGAAGCAGGATGTGAGGAAATCATGAGGGTGTCCACACCCTCTATATGCCGTGAAACTGTTGTCTGTGGTGGGCTCCTGCATGCTTTTACAGGTGGGAGTTTGGAGGAGGGATGGGGCATGAGTGGTGTGTCAGTGACTAAAAAGGAATCCCAAGACAGACTCTCCCATGGAGGGGCAGCTCCCCTGCCATGAAGAATACTACAGGTTAAATGCTGAGGTACTGATCACAGAGTGCATCCTGAGGGGAAGGATCCATCCTTCTCAACTATGTAAATTCTCCCTTGCCACTGCCACCCTAAAGCCCAGTTGCTGATTACAAGCTTGGTGCAGTGTCCAAGATTTGCCCGTAAGTCAGTAGTGGGGAGATTCCTTGCCAGGTATAGAACTGGGGTGCTGCCCTCAGTCACTGCTCATATATAGCTGTGTAAACATTATATGAATAATCCAGTCTTTCAGTGGGAAAATAACCCTTTTTGGTTTTCTTTCCCACATGTTGTGACTACCCCACTCCGTCACCTATTAACATTGAAATAATGGGATCTTAATGTGTGCATGTTACATTCAGACCCATATAAATGCATTGTGCCGACACATATCTGATAGTAATCAATAGAACATATTGGCCCAGATTCTCCATTCTGCTAAGGCAATTTTGTGTTGCACAAAGGGACCATATGCTTGCAGCATAAATTAAACTAGAACCGCTCATGCTCTGCCTTGTTCAGAGACTGGATGGCCCTAAATCAGAGAGCTTCAGCCAGCTTCCTGCATCTGCTCATCTTCCCTAGGTAGTGGAGAACTAAGGCCATTGTTCACACATTTAAATAATAAGAATACTTGGCTTTTACATAGAGCCTTTCATTCTAGCATCTCAAAGTGCTTTGCATATAGACTAGACAAGAAATAATCTATTGGAAATCCAACAAAATTGGACAGTTTACTTAGTATTTTAATTATAAGCTGTGATACAATTTACTTTAAATATGAATCAAAACCATTTCTAATGTCAGCTCTGAATCACATTTTCAGCCCATGTGACTAGAAAAGTGAAAAGGAATGTTATTCCCTAAGTAGTCACCTAAAGAATTAATAAAACTTCACTGCCTTTGCACACTCCACTTTTAATAGCTGTATGTTGGGGTGCTGATGCAAAACTTTTGGGATAACTGGTGGAGAAGGGACTGTGTGACATACAGATCAAAACTGTGGTCCTATATTTGGCTTAGACCCCTCAGACAGGCGAAATTCCAATTTACCTGAATGGGAGTATTGCCTAAGAAAGGTCAGAAGAACCAGGCCCATCTTAATTTTTCTGTCCTTTTTCCAGACTCTTAAAATATTGCAATTTCCATGCTTTCTATTAGCTGACTCCTTGAATTGTTTTTTCCCCATTTCATTTTGTAGATGGAAGAATTTATGGAGTTGGGAAACGAGATACCAAATGCTACACTCAATGACATTATTAGCTCTCAAAAGCCAAATCAATGTTGTGTGCTAGTGTACACTTCTGGAACAACTGGGAAGCCAAAAGGAGCCATGCTGAGTCATGACAATGTATGTACTCTAGACACAGCTTTATGATAAAGCTTTTCAAAGCATGAGGGTGTTTATTTCTGTGCTTTAGAACGAAATGGGATCATGGTGGAGTCTCCAAGCACTGTGGCACTCTGTTTTAAGGACGGAATAGCAAAAGAAACTATATCCAAACTATATATTTCTGAGAAACTACAAGCTCTTCTCATAGCTGAGTTTATAAATGACTTTCTCTGGTTCATGCAGTTGATTGTGTGATAAAACACTGTTAGCACAAATATCTTCAAATGACCTCTCAAGATCATCTTCAAAAGAATCATACACCTTAGGCAGCCAATGTCACAGCAGCCTGATATTAGAAGTTTTTGCAAGGTTTTATTAAACTTGGCCCTTTATCTGTAACATTATTACCTTTCCAAGTTACGTTCATTTTAGTTCCTCCTAATTTAGTAAAGAATAGGAAAAGTTTTGTATATTCTACAGCCCTCTTATTCACAAAATCCGTGTCTATGTTGCTGCAAACAGCCAACTCTATAGTGCCAAAGAGAGTCAAAAAGCCAAGCGGAAAAGAGACTTTACACAAAAGTCTGCTTACCACGGGCTAGAATGTGGTTGGCTCTTACATGGCTATGCAGTGCGGGAAAGGATTAAGGAACTTGCGTGAACACTCGTGTAGCCCATAAAAGAACTGGCTGGAATTGCAACTTCTGCTCTTGATGGAGCACAGGGTCTGATAATGAGAGCAATTCACCCTAAAGTAGGGAGTAGGCAGAGCAATATCTGGAAGTAGGATATGCTGGACATGATGGACCAAAGGTCTGATCTGGCATGGCAAATCCTGTGTTCTTCTGTCTCAAAGGAATCTGGTACAGTTTTTATTTTGCTGTCAAACTATTTCTGGCTACTGTGCACAAGCAGGCTATTTTTATGCTGATCAACACAGTGGAAAACATCCTTTGCCTGTAACTGTACTGCTGCCTTCTTTAGTCAAAAGAAGTTTTCCTCTGCCCTTATTCTAAACCTGTGCTGGGTCAGGCATTCATCCCTTTCATCCCCACCCTGATCTGACGTGTGAACATAACTGCGTGTTGAGGGATTTTTGGATGCTAAGCTGATAATGCAGCTACATATTTAGAAAACATCTTGTCAAGCCTCTTTGTACTCTTGTTCCACAAGCGCTTGCCCAATATTGCCTTCTGCACCTAGGGCAGCCTCCCTGAACCTATACACCATGGCTAGTATTCCTAATGATAAATACCACTGGTGATCCTGAATGGCTTTGTGTAGGCAAATTACCCCTTCTGTCATGCGAACTCAGTGTTCTATAGTATTTATTGCTGTTTTGTTTCAAATGACATCCTAGAAATGCTGTGCTGATGAAAGGTGACAGACTGACCTTCCTGGACACGGGAGTCCTCTTTACCTAGAGCAGGGCAACACACAGGCACCAACTTTTCAAAATGCTGGGGGGTGCTGGACCCTCAGCTCTGCCCCAAGCCCCATCCCTACTCCACCCCTTCCTTCAAGGCCCCACCCCATCCCGCCTCTTCCCGCCCCCGCTCCACCCCACCTCTTCCCACCCCCACCTCTTCGCGCCTAGTTCTGCCCCCTCCCTGACCGCGCCGCATCCTCACGCCGTCCCCCCAGCCTCCTGCATGCTGTGAAACAGCTGACTGCGGTGGGCGGGAGGTGTAGAGACAGAGGGGGAGGCGCTGATCCATGGGGCCTGCCAACGGGCGAGAGGCGGTAAGGGGGAGCTGATGGGGGGCTGCCGGTGGGTGCTCAGCAGCCACCATTTTTCCCTGTGGGTGCTCCAGCCCTGGAGAACCCACAAAGTCAGTGCCTATGGGGCAGCAGCACAAGCAGGGACAGTGCAAGCTTCCCCTCATGGGTCTCCCAGTGTTCCTCAAGCCTGACTGGGAAGGGCCATCTTTAGGAGTGAAATGGGGAAATGGTCTAAAATAAATAGGTGAAATTCAATAAGGACAAATGCAAAGTAGTACACTTAGGAATGAATAATCAAGTGCACAAGTACAAAATGTGAAATGATTGTCTAGAAAGAAGTATTGCAGAAAAGGATCTGGTGGCTATAGTGGATCACAAACTAAATATGAGTCAACAATGTAATACTGTTGCAAAAAAAGCAAACACCACTCTGGGATGTCTAGCAAGAATGTTGAAAGCAGGACACGAAAAGTAATTCTTCTGCTCTACTCAGCACTGATAAGGCCTCAACTGGAGTATTGTGGCCAGTTCTGGGCACTACACTGTGGGAAAGATGAGGACAAACTAAAGAAACTTCAGAGGAGAATAACAAAAATGATTAAAGGTCTAGAAAACCTGACCTACGAGGAGAGATTGAAAAAATTGGGTTTGTTTAGTCTGGAAAAGAGAAGACAGAGGGGAGACATAACAGTCTTCAAGTACATAAAAGCTTGTTATAAAGGGAAGGGTGATAAATTGTTCTCCTTAACTACTGAGGACAGGATAAAAAGTAATGGGCTTAAATTGCAGCAAGGGAGATTTAGATTAAATATGAGGAAAAACTTCCTAACCATCAGGATAGTTAAGCACAGGAACAAATTACCTACAGAGGTTGTAAAATCTCTGTCATTGGAGGTTTTTAAGAACAGGTTAGACAAACACCTGTCAGAGATAGTCTAGATAATATTTAGTCCCGTCTCAGTGCAGGGGACTGGAGTAGATGATCTATTAAGGTCCCTTCCAGTCCTACATTTCTATGATTCTGTGAAGGCGTAGTTCAGTTCCTTTGTCTGTTCAGTCCATAGGCCCTCTGGTGAGGTTAATTGTGTCAACAATACCCATTGTGTATGTAAGGCAGGAATTGTAGTGCTTACAGTGCAGCAGGGGGAAAACAGACTGCCACCAATTCATTATATTCCTTGCAGTTCATTTGCTCTAAATAGGTTGTTAAAGGTAGTGATATCTCTAACAACACATGTGTATTATACAGACAGAGTCATAGTTTACTAACATAACAGGACTGGCTGCTTAAATTGTATTAAAATAATATTTAACATCTTGACAGGTTTCAGAGTAGCAGCCGTGTTAGTCTGTATTCGCAAAAAGAAAAGGAGTACTTGTGGCATCTTAGAGACGAACAAATTTATTTGAGCGTAACTTTTCGTGAGCTACAGCTCACTTCATCAGATGCATTCAGGTATTTTCCACTGAATGCATCCGATGAAGTGAGCTGTAGCTCACGAAAGCTTATGCTCAGATAAATTTGTTAGTCTCTAAGGTGCCATAAGTACTCCTTTTCTGTTTAACATCTTGTTATTTATGTGAACAGATAACCTGGACAGCAGCACATGCCAGCAGAGCTGGGGATATGCAACCAGCAGAAATCCAACAGGAGATTATAGTCAGTTACCTCCCGCTCAGCCACATAGCTGCTCAGATATATGACCTCTGGACTGGAATCAAGTGGGGAGAGCAAGTTTACTTCGCTGAGCCAGATGCTTTAAAGGTACCTGTAGTACTTTACATATACATTTAAGGTAATTTTTTCACCAGCAGAAGCACTAAGTAGAGCATTTGGTTTTAAGGAGATGCAGGCGATAATTGCAAGTTTTGTGTAACCATTCTGGAAAAGTGAATTGAATGGGAGATGTAGAGCCAATACTCCAGTGACCTAAGGCCCCATTTTACCCTAACCCAGAGCCATGCCTAGAACTCTGTTCCGTCAGCTCCAAAACCACAGGCCTCTATCACTTTAGCTAAAGAGCTCCTGTAACTGATAGCAATAGTGGATCTCTTACCCTCTCTGTACACAAAGTTAGTTCATTACATTATAAAATGAAAAAATAATATAGCCAGAACCCAAGCTCTTTTTAAGGCAGCAGCTTGAGGATTCCCCTGGCACAGGGGGGAGTGTAAGCAATGTTCCAGGTAGGCAGGATCAGGGGGGACAGAAAGGAGGAGTAAAGCCACCTGTGCCCTCCCCCAGCACATACACAGTTGTGTCAAGCACTGTTCTAGCTCACCTGGGGATCTAGCTGAAATAATAGGCTCTGACTTCAATGATATTATACATATAAGTGCTGCAAGACGTAGTTCATTAGGAAGAAAAAAACCTCCATAACACCAATCCTGACTTTCGCAATATATTCTCTTATTTTAACAGGGCAGCTTGGTCAATACACTGAAAGAAGCACAGCCAACATCTCATATGGGAGTTCCACGAGTATGGGAGAAAATCATGGAGAAATTAAAGGACACGTCTGCTCAGTCGGGATTTATGAAAAAGAAAGTGTTATCATGGGCCATGTCCATTAGCTTAGAGAGGAACCTAAGCTGCTCAGGAAGGTACACTTAGTAACAAATACTACTTTAGCTATGCCCAAAGAACCCTATCTGCCCTCAATTATCCCCAAGTAGCCCCACTGACTTCATGGGGATTGCCTTTCTGTTCTCACTAGCACAGATATTTTACCTGGTAATTGGCATTCAGCACTGTAGTTTTATATTTTGGTAGAAATCAGTGGGGGGAAAAGATGTTCAGCAGCATCTCGTAAAACTGATCTCGGGTTCTGCTGGGGTATCTAGTTTTGACTGGATTTTTAAAGATAGATGGATTTCTGCCCTGGGCTTTACTATAGTTTTCCACTGGAGATTTTCTCCACCTTTGTTGCAGGCTTTGGCATCCATTCCAAGTGTATCAATGCATTTTTATCTGATTTCCCAAGGTCATTAAACTCATTGCCAGGTGATGTTGTGAAGGCCAAAACTATAATGCAATTAAAAAAAAAATTAGATAAGTTCATGGAGGATAAGTCCATCAATGGTCATTGGCCAAAATGGTCAGGGATGCAACACTATGCTCTGGGTGTCCCTAGCGTTTGTTTGCCAGAAGCTGGGAGTGGATGACAAGCGATGAATCACTTGATGATTGCCTGTTCTGTTCATTGCCTCTGGAAGACAGGATACCGGGCTTGGTGGAATCATAGAAGATTAGGGTTGGAAGAGAGCTCAGGAGGTCATCTAGCCCAAGCCCCTGCTCAAAGCAGGACCAACCCCAACTAAATTATTCTAGCCAGGGCTTTGGCAAGCCGAGCCTTAAAAACCTCTAAGGATGGAGATTCCACCACCTCCCTCGGTAACCCATTCTAGTGCTTCACCACCCTCCTAGTGAAATAGTTTTTCCTAATATCCAACCTAGACCTCCCCCACTGCAACTTGAGACCATTGTTCCTTGTTTTGTCATCTGCCACCACTGAGAAAAGCCAAGCTCCATCCTCTTGGAACCCCTTTCAGGTAGTTGAAGGTTGCTATCAAATCCCTCCTCACTCTTCTCTTCTGCAGACTAACTAAGCCCAGTTCCCTCAGCCTCTCCTCATAAGTCATGTGCCCCAGCCCCCTAATCATTTTCGTTGCCTTCCGCTGGACTCTCTCCAATTTGTCCATATCCTTTCTGTAGTGGGAGGTCCAAAACTGGATGCAGTATACCAGATGTGGCCTCACCAGTGTTGAATAGACAGGAAGAATCACTTCCCTTGATCTGCTGGCAATGCTCCTACTAATGCAGCCCAATATGCCATTAGCCTTCTTGGCAACAAGGGCACAGTGTTGTCTACTGTAATCCCCAAGTCCTTTTCTGCTGCTTAGCCAGTCGGTCTCCACTCTGTAGCACTGCATAGGATTCTTCCGTCCTAAGTGCAGGACTCTGCACTTGTCCTTGTTGAACCTCATCAGATTTCTTTTGGCCTACCCTCCAGCGTATCTACCTCTCCCCCCCAGCTTAGTCATCCACAAACTTGCTGAGGGTGCACTCCATCCCATCATCTAGATCATTAATGAAGATGTTAAACAAAACCGGCCCCGGGACCACTGGGGCACTCCGCTTGATACCAGTTGCCAACTAGACATCGAGCCATTGATCACCACCCACTGAGCCCGATGATCTAGCCAGCTTTCTATCCACCTTATAGTCCATTCATCTAATCCGTACTTTTTTAACTTGTTGGCAAGAATATTGTGGGAGACCGTATCAAAAGCTTTGCTAAAGTCAAGATATATCACATCCATCACTTTCCCCATATCCACAGAGCCAGTTATCTCGTCATAGAAGGCAATCAGGTTGGCAGGGCCAGCTCCAGGCACCAGCTTTCCAAACAGGCGCTTGGGGCGGCAATGAGAATGGGGCAGCAGTCCGTTTCCCGCGGCGGCTTTTGTGCGGCAGCTCCGCTGCTTTCCTGGGGGCGGTGGCAATTTGGTGGCAACTGCTTGGGGCGGCAAAATTGGTAAAGCTGCCCCTGAGGTTGGTGAGGCATGACAAGATAAAGGCCAATGGCTCTGCAATCGCATCAGCCAACTCCCTCAGATGCATTAGATCTGGCCCCATGGACTTGTGCATGTTCAGCTTTTCTAAATAGTCCTTAACCTGTTCTTTCACCACTGAGGGCTGCTCACCTCCTCCCCATACTGTGCTGCCCAGTTCAGCAGTCTGGGAGCTGACCTTGTCTGTGAAGACTGAGGCAAAAAAAGCATTGAGTACTTCAGCTTTTTCCACATCATCTGTCACTAGTTTGCTTCCCCCATTCAGTAAGGGTCCCACACTTTCCCTGACCTTCTTCTTGTTGCTAACTCACCTGTAGAAACCCTTCTTGTTATGCTTCACATCCCTTGCTAGCTGCAACTCCAATTGTGGTTTGGCCTTCCTGATTATACCCCTGCATGCTCGAGCAATATTTTTATACTCCTCCCTAGTGATCTGTTCAAGTTTCCACTTCTTGTAAGCTTCCTTTTTGTGTTTTAGCTCACCGAAGATTTCTCTGTTAAGCCAAGCTGGTCGCCTGCTATATTTGCTATTCTTTCTGCACATCGGGATAGTTTGTTCTTGCGCTCTCAATAAGGCTTCTTTAAAATACAGCCAGCTCTCCTAGACTCCTTTCCCCCTCATATTAGCCTCCCAGGGGATCCTGCCCATCAGTTCCCTGAAGGAGTCAAAGTCATCTTTTGGCTTAAGTCTGACCCAATATGGCTGTTCCTAGGTTCTTATGTTATCTACAGCGCCCTCAGGATTAATCACTCCATTCCCTCACCAAAAAGAAACAGTTTTATAGAGGCCTGTGGCATGATAGCACTTGACTATGAATTTATGTACAGCAGGGGAGAAGATCCTTTAGCGTATGTCTACACAATAAAGAAAAATTCGCAGCTGGCCCAGGCCAGCCAACTCAGGCTCATGGGGCTCAGCTGTGGGACTGTTTCATTGCTGTGTAGACTTCGGAGCTCAGGCTAGGGCCTAGGCTCTAAGACACTATGGGGTGGGAAGGTCCCAGAGCTCAGGCTCCAGCCGGAGCCTGGAAGTCTACACAGCAATGAAACAGCCTCTCAGCCCGAGTCCCACAAGGCCGAGTTGGCTGTCATGGGCCAGCCATGGGTTTTTCTTTGCTGTGTACACATACCCATAGAGATTCCAAAAAACATTGCATGTCTGTACTGATTTACTTGTATGACTTTTCAGTTTCCCAGATAGGTTTATCAAATTGCCCAGACAATGAGGCTCTTGTTATCTTAATGATCGTAGATTTTGGTGGAACTAGCTCATATTTAAGTGATAAAGAATCAAGAAATAGTGAAAATAGTGATCTCCACAATGCATTTCACCAATCCTTCATGAGCCTGCAAAACTGGGGCATCCCTGGTATTTGGAGTTAGTATTCAGGGAAGGTTTCAGAGTAACAGCCTGTATTTGCAAAAAGAAAAGGAGTACTTGTGGCACCTTAGAGACTAACCAATTTATTTGAGCATAAGCTTTCATGAGCTACAGCTCACTTCATCAGATGCTGTAGCTCACGAAAGCTTATGCTCAAATAAATTGGTTAGTCTCTAAGGTGCCACAAGTACTCCTTTTCTTTATTCAGGGAAGGACATTCTGTAAATGATACAAATGGGAAATAATGTGCCTAGACATCCAAACCCGAATGATGAATGCGTAATTGAAACACAAAGTTGGTTTGTTTTGGAAATTATTTACATTTCCTCTGAATTCCCCTGTCTTTCTCTGTGTTTTTTCCACTCAGCAGTGATTTAAAGCCCTTTCGAACAAGATTAGCAGACTACTTAGTACATGCAAAAATCCGCAGTGCTCTGGGATTTTCCCACTGTCAGAAGCATTTCTCTGGTGCTGCTCCTGTCACTACAGAAACTCTGGATTTCTTCTTGAGTCTGAACATCCCCTTGTACCAGGCATATGGGATGAGCGAGACTACAGGCCCGCACTGCATGTCTGGGCCATATGTTTACAGACGTCACAGGTAATTTTACAGAACCTTTTACATGCAGGAACCAAACAATCCTGCCAACATGAGAATGCCCATGATGTCTCCTGTTCCCACTGTTTTTCTTTCCCACTCCCTCTTTCACCTTCTTGTTTTTATGGCAGTTTCTGGGTAATTAAGTCGTGATACAGAATTTCACATTATTCTGTGAATTTGCCAACTCTTTATCTTTGTCTTCACTTTGACTGTGCTCTATCCCACAGTCCCAAGTTCCCTCCCACATCTACTTAGGTGGCAAAAGCCCTTATTGCACTGGACCCAGCTGCTAAAACTTCTACTTTCACCCTTGTCAATTTCTACCACATATTTATGCATTTTTACTACAAAAATCTGCAACAAATTGAAAACAGAAAATTGGGAAAAGACAGAATGAATTGAATATCAAATATATATATTTGATTGATATATATATATATATATATATATAAAATTCAGTAAAATGCTCTATTTTTAATGTATGAAAAGCTGCTACTGTATTTTCAGGTTGCTTTGCTGTAAAATTTAGATTCATGTCCCTTGAGACTTGAACTTGAGAGGCGGTGTTGTCTAGTGGATACAGTGCTGGACTGAGACTTGGGAGATGTAGGTTCTCTTTGTTCTTTCCTTTAACTTCCCCATCTTCAAGGCTCTGTGTTCCAGCTCAAGACAGTCTTCATGCCAGAAGCTGAGCATCTTGCTTCCACCACGCTTTGACCCACGGTGTCAGTCAAACCCGGTCTCTTGCACACTGTGCAGAGCACAACTATTAAACTAAAGGGCTGGCCTACTTAAGAGGGAATAATGTGCAAATACGAAATTTAAAACAGAGAAGTGTTTTAATGCTCCAAAAGAAACAAAAGGTCCACTTGAGTAGCAACACAGGGCAAAATCCTCAGCTGGTATAAATGTGCAGAACTCCACTTACACTGCTGAAATTCTGGCCTGTAACTTTCTAACAACGATGGGAATGTGTTTGTTTATACCTTCTCAAGGATTTAGAGATGAGATATTATAAAGGTTGGCTCTATATTTTATCTGGCTTTTCTAGCATTCCTTATGAATCTTTTCCTTCTTGTTCCCTTGTAGCTGTGGCAAAGCAGTGCCTGGCTGCAAAGTGAAACTGGTGAATGAGGATGCAGATGGCAATGGAGAAATTTGTTTCTGGGGAAGAACTGTTTTCATGGGTTATTTAAATATGGAGGATAAAACTAAAGAAGCTATTGATGATGATGGGTGGTTGCATTCTGGAGACCTAGGAAGACTAGACAAGGACGGCTTCCTCTATGTTACTGGAAGAATTAAAGGTAAAAAGCAGTCTCCTCCCAACTTTTTAAAGTAACTATTAAGTGTTGTTCAGTCATACAACAGATAAGCACATAGGAATACCTTATTGGATCAGACTTGTGGTTCACCTGGTTGAGTGTCTCCAACTCCAGCTCCAAGTGCTTCAGAGGAGCCCTCACAATAAGTAGATGTGAGAGAATCTGCTCCCATGAAGGTCTCATCCTTAGAGATTGGCTTAAGCATTGCAACATGAGGTTTTATCTCCCTTCCAATATTCATTTTGTTAGCATTAACAATAATTCTGGATGTTTTGTTATCCATGTAAATGTTCAATCCCGCTTTGAATCTTGCTAAGTCCTTTGCCTTACTGTCTGATCAAAATATTCAGACAATAATGTTAGACAATCACTATGTTTTGTATTAAGTCATGAATCATGGGGCTACATGCTAGAAGAGGGTGCCTAATGAAATAGGAAAACTCACTGTACTCTTACTGCCATGTGGGAACTGGACATCTGAGATGGCTGTAAGCTCCGCGTTTCCAGACCATTTGAACAATATCCTCTTAGTTTTTGAAGGTAGAAGGATAAGTTAAAACAAAGAGGAATATTTGGGTCTGGTGACAGTATTTTGCTTGAAATGTTGTCCAGGGAAGGTTTTGGTAATTTGTTTGCCTGGAAGCTCACTTCCAAGATACATACTCAGAAGGGTGATATTTTGTCACAGTTCAGATGCTTCCTAAACTACCTTGTGTAATGAGTAACTGTAAGCCCTGAAAACAAGATGAATCATGAGGGAAGTAGCTGCACTTGCTGGTGAATTTGTAACAGGATAACATTACCATGTGCAGTCAATCCTAGTGGGCTTTATTAGACAGTAAAATTAGCCTGTACTGAATGTGATCATTTTGGCCTCCCTTAATTCTCTGTCTTTCCCTTTTCTGGTTACTTTTCCTTTCCTCCCATGTTATTCTTTAACAAAGTGGCCCAGTTCGATTATGTTAATGTTTGCATTGCACTTATACCTTCAGTGATGGGAGTGCCATTTTTTAAAAGAATAAATACTGTAAATGAAAGATAAATTAAGGCTAAGTGAGCCAGTTCGGATAAAATAAATACTGCCTGAATTTCCAGGCAAACTTCAAATCCAAGTCTAAACCATTTAAAATATATTGGAAGGTCAGATAAATCTCTGCCCTCCTCCCCGCCCCCGCATCCTTGAGCCTTGAACAGGTCTCCTCCATTTTCAGAAATCCATCTCAGCAGGTCTGGCTGGTGTTTTCAGTTCTCATGAGTTCTGGCAGGACTTTCAATGCATCAAGGATGGGAGGGACAAATGATGATGTTTTGTGATATCTCTGACCCAGAGTAGCTCTTAAGATTTGAATAGTCACATGTCAGAGATAGCTAGATAAGAGAACCCCCTTAATGGAACCTCATTGCGGGTGGGGCAGCAGCAGTTATAAAATTACAGGGGCTCTGGTGGGTTTGGAAAAGTTGAGGAGGAAGAAATCTCTAAGGTTTAGACCAACATCTGATTTGTGGAGGAGTGACCATATATTTAAGATATGATAAAGCATAGTGTAGTCTCTCATCCTAGAAATATAAATTGTACTTCATAAAATAATTCTGTACACACATCATATTATCCAGGAAAATAATTGTGGAGTATTGACTGTGCCAATTTATGTGGATTTAGCTGACTGGCTATTGCATATAAAACACACATGGGCCTATTATATACTTTCCCTGCCCTATAGCCTCCAAAGCTGTTACTGAACACTAGTGAAATTAGGACCCAAACCTGTGAGTAACTATTTCCCCTGAGTTCCCTCAAGTGCCACTGAATTGAGTAAAGAAAAGGAGTACTTGTGGCACCTTAGAGACTAACCAATTTATTTGAGCATAAGCTTTCGTGAGCTACAGCTCACTTCATCGGATGCTGTAGCTCACGAAAGCTTATGCTCAAATAAATTGGTTAGTCTCTAAGGTGCCACAAGTACTCCTTTTCTTTTTGCGAATACAGACTAACACGGCTGTTACTCTGAAACCTGAATTGAATAAAGCTCAGTAGCAAATGGGATCAGGTACTAAGCTACTGAATGTGCTACCTTTGTTAAGCTTTTCCCCCTTCACGTTTTTAAAAAACTGATAACTATAAAGATAACTATTTTTGTATCACTGAGACAACAGATTATCACAGTTAGGGAGTTTGAAACAAATGCTGATCCATGAAGTATAGGATATCTCAGAGGGGGTGTGTAAGGAGCAATAAGCTGGTTTAAAAGTAAACACTGAACATCAGAGGTAACCTCTTTCTCCTCTCTATTCTACTTTCTCCCTATCTCACAACTCACTGCCAAATGGTAGTTTTACCATAACACAGCACACAAGTCAGACAATCTAATGTTTCTTGTAAGAAATAAGACACGTCAGTTTTCCATAACCTTTTCTTTCCTTCTCATTTCCTCTGTTTCCTTCTTATACTCATCTGTTTACCAGACTTAATATCTACTCAATATGCAAATTCTGATAATCTCCAAAAACATAATTCCACTGAAACAGTTAGTCAAGTTTCTATCATCTTATTGTATTCAATACCACAAATTTTGGCAAAGAACCAAATTAAAATACAGACAAGAAGCCTCTTAGTTAATACTGAATATGCTACTGTCAACTAAGAAATGGATTCAGCAAATACTTACAGGTGCTTACCTTCACGTGCAGCAGTAGTACCACTGACTTCCATGGAAGTACATAAGTAAAGTTGAGCATTTCCATAAAAGTGTTTCCAGGATCAGGTCCCTTAATGTAGGGCTTTCAGTTACAATAGTACACTGAAGTCCATTTGTCTGCACTCTTCTGTACTGAGTGCATGGTAAATAGGCCTCATGGCCTGTGATGGGATGTTAAATGGGATGGGATCTGAGTTACCCAGGAAAGAATTTTCTGTAGTATCTGGCTGGTGAATCTTGCCCATATGCTCAGGGTTTAGCTGATCGCCATATTTGGGGTCGGGAAGGAATTTTCCTCTAGGGCAGATTGGAAGAGGCCCTGGAGGTTTTTCGCCTTCCTCTGCAGCATGGGGCACGGGTCATTTGCTGGAGGATTCTCTGCTCCTTGAAGTCTTTAAACCACGATTTGAGGGCTTCAATAGCTCAGACATAGGTGAGAGGTTTTTTGCAGGAGTGGGTGGGTGAGATTCTGTGGCCTGCGTTGTACAGGAGGTCAGACTAGATGATCATAATGGTCCCTTCTGACCTTAGTATCTATGAATCTATGAGTACATTATTTCTTAAAATGTTTTATGTATTTAAAAGGACAATTTATTTTAGGCACAGGCAGAGGACACAAGTTTAATGCAGTGGAGCCCTCGTTTGCTTATGGGATGGTGCAATGTATTGAGAATTGTAATAGTCAAAGAATTTTACTTTAATAGACAAGTATCAGAGGGGTAGCCATGTTAGTCTGTATCCACAAAAACAGTGAGGAGTCCGGTGGCACCTTAAAGACTGCCAGATTTATTTGTGCATTAGCTTTCATGGGTAGAAAATCCACTTCTTCAGATGCATGGAGTGAAAATTACAGAAAAAGACATAAATATATATTGGCACATAAAGAGAAGGGAGTTACCTTACAAGTGGAGAACCAATGCTGAAGGTCAATTTAGTCAAGGTGGATGTGGTCAACTCCCAATAACTGATGAGGAAGTGTCAATACCAAGAGAGGGAAAATTGCTTTTGTAGTGAGCCAACCACTCCCAGTCCCTGTTCAAGCACAAATAGATGGTGTTATGTTTGCAAATGAATTGTAGCTCAGCAGTTTCTAGTTGAAGTCTGTTTTTGAAGTTTTTTTTGTTGAAGAATGGCTACTTTTAAATCTGTTATTGAGAGCTCTCCTACTGGTTTTGGATGTACCATTCCTGATGTCTGATTTGTGTCCATTTATCCTTTTATGTAGAGATTGTCTGGGTTGGCCAATGTACATGGCAGAGGGGCATTGGCACATGATGGCATATATTCCATTAGTAGATATGCAGGTGATGGTGTGGCTGCTGGTGGTTGGGTCCTCTGATGGTGTCACTAGAGTAGAAATGGGGACAGAGAAGGCAACGGGGTTTGTTACAGGGATTGGTTCCTGGGTTAGTGTTTCTGTGGTGTGGTGTGTAGTTGCTGGTGAACAATAGACTTTTGATGTAACCTTCTGTTTCCCAAACATCATGTAATCAACTACATGGATTAACATAAGGTAATTTGCAAAAAGAAAAGGAGTACTTGTGGCACCTTAGAGACTAACCAATTTATTTGAGCATAAGCTTTCGTGAGCTACAGCTCACTTCATCGGATGCATACTGTGGAAAGTGTAGAAGATCTTTTTATACACACAAAGCATGAAAAAATACCTCCCCCCACCCCACTCTCCTGCTGGTAATAGCTTATCTAAATTGGTCACTCTCCATACAATGTGTATGATAATCAAGTTGGGCCATTTCCAGCACAAATCCAGGTTTTCTCTCCCCCCCCCACTCCCACGCGGGTGGCCCCAAAGTACGCCAACATTTTTATGGCTGACTTAGAAAAACGCTTCCTCAGCTCTCGTCCCCTAACGCCCCTACTCTACTTGCGCTATATTGATGACATCTTCATCATCTGGACCCATGGAAAAGAAGCCCTTGAGGAATTCCACCATGATTTCAACAATTTCCATCCCGCCAGCAACCTCAGCCTGGTCCAGTCCACACAAGAGATCCACTTCCTGGACACTACAGTGCTAATAAACGATGGTCACATAAACACCACCCTATACCGGAAACCTACTGACCGCTATTCCTACCTACATGCCTCCAGCTTTCACCCTGACCACACCACACGATCCATTGTCTACAGCCAAGCTCTGCGATACAACCGCATTTGCTCCAACCCCTCAGACAGAGACAAACACCTACAAGATCTCTATCAAGCATTCTTACAACTACGATACCCACCTGCGGAAGTGAAGAAACAGGTTGATAGAGCCAGAAGAGTTCCCAGAGGTCACCTACTACAGGACAGGCCTAACAAAGAAAATAACAGAACGCCACTAGCCGTCACCTTCAGCCCCCAACTAAAACCCCTCCAATGCATTATTAAGGATCTACAACCTATCCTGAAGGATGACCCAACACTCTCACAAACCTTGGGAGACAGGCCAGTCCTTGCCTACAGACAGCCCCCCAACCTGAAGCAAATACTCACCAGCAACCACATACTACACAACAGAACCACTAACCCAGGAACCTCTCCTTGCAACAAAGCCCGTTGCCAACTGTGCCCACATATCTATTCAGGGGACACCATCACAGGGCCTAATAACATCAGCCACACTATCAGAGGCTCGTTCACCTGCACGTTCACCAATGTGATATATGCCATCATGTGCCAGCAATGCCCCTCTGCCATGTACATTGGTCAAACTGGACAGTCTCTACGTAAAAGAATAAATGGACACAAATCAGATGTCAAGAATTATAACATTCATAAACCAGTCGGAGAACACTTCAATCTCTCTGGTCACGTGATTACAGACGTGAAAGTTGCGATATTACAACAAAAAAAACTTCAAAACCAGACTCCAGCGAGAGACTGTTGAATTGGAATTCATTTGCAAATTGGATACAATTAATTTAGGCTTGAATAGAGACTAAGAGTGGTAAGTCATTATGCAAGGTAACCTATTTCCCCTTGTTTTTTCCTTACCCCCCCCCCCCCGACGTTCTTATTAAACCGTGGATTTGTGCTGGAAATGGCCCACCTTGATTATCATACACATTGTAAGGAGAGTGGTCACTTTAGATAAGCTATTACCAACAGGAGAGTGGGGTGGGGGGAGGTATTTTTTCATGCTTTGTGTGTATAAAAAGATCTTCTGTACTTTCCACAGTATGCATCCGATGAAGTGAGCTGTAGCTCACAAAAGCTTATGCTGAAATAAATTGGTTAGTCTCTAAGGTGCCGCAAGTACTCCTTTTCTTTTTGCGAATACAGACTAACATGGCTGTTACTCTGAAATAAGGTAATTTATCCATTAAACAGTTCATATACTGTTTACCACAAACTTTAAAGAGACATATAGACAATGACATTATTTCACCCAAGATTTCATCTAAATGTTAACATTCCCTTTTGATCTCTGAATCAGTAGCTATAGTGATAGACAGGAACTGTCTGTTTACATGTCTAACATCTAACAAGATATAAGTAAACACATACAATTAGTATCACCTCTAATTTTCTAACAATACAGGTTTGCATTTCAAAGTTCCAGCCTACCTAACATGTCTCAAAAGTTTCAGAGGAACAGCCGTGTTAGTCTGTTAGTCTCTCACAAGTCTTGGGAGACAGGCCAGTCCTTGCCTACAGACAGCCCCGCAACCTGAAGCAAATACTCACCAACAACCACATACCACACAACAGAACCACTAACCCAGGAACTTATCCTTGCAACAAAGCCCGTTGCCAATTGTGCCCACATATCTATTCAGAGGACACCATCACAGGGCCTAATAACATCAGCCACACTATCAGAGGCTCGTTCACCTGCACATCCACCAATGTGATATATGCCATCATGTGCCAGCAATGCCCCTCTGCCATGTACATTGGTCAAACTGGACAGTCTCTACGTAAAAGAATAAATGGACACAAATCAGATGTCAAGAATTATAACATTCATAAACCAGTCGGAGAACACTTCAATCTCTCTGGTCACGCAATCACAGACATGAAGGTCGCTATCTTAAAACAAAAAAACTTCAAATCCAGACTCCAGCGAGAAACTGCTGAATTGGAATTCATTTGCAAATTGGATACTATTAATTTAGGCTTAAATAGAGACTGGGAGTGGCTAAGTCATTATGCAAGGTAGCCTGTTTCTTCTTGTTTTTTCCTACCCCCCCCCCCAGATGTTCTGGTTTAACTTGGATTTAAACTTGGAGAGTGGTCAGTTTAGATGAGCTATTACCAGCAGAAGAGTGAGTTTGTGTGTGTATGGGGGTGGGGAGGATGTGAGAAAACCTTGATCTATGCAGGAAATAGCCCGACTTGATTATGTAAAGAGTTGTCACTTTGGATGGGCTAGCACCAGCAGGAGAGTGAATTTGTGTGGGGGATGGAGGGTGAGAAAACCTGGATTTGTGCTGGAAATGGCCCACCTGTTGATCACTTTAGATAAGCTATTACCAGCAGGACAGTGGGGTGGGAGGAGGTATTGTTTCATATTCTCTGTGTGTATATAAAGTCTGCTGCAGTTTCCACGGTAAACATCTGATGAAGTGAGCTGTAGCTCACGAAAGCTCATGCTCAAATAAATTGGTTAGTCTCTAAGGTGCCACAAGTACTCCTTTTCTTTTTATGTCTCAAAAGGTTGACCCTGGGTCATTTAGCCTGCAAGCTACTTAACCCTTTCTGGCCATGTCACAGACTTTTTTTAAATCATTTTTTAAAATTTGAAATGACTCTTCACTTTAAAATGTCCTTTGTTTTTTAAGTAAAACTAATCAAAAACATTTTAAAATGGTCAAAAAACAAAACAAAACATTTTGATTTTGAAGGAAACAAAATTCTCAGAATGGAATGACATTGTGACTTCTTGATTCGCTGAAAATTTCAAAAAATTCAGTGGTTCATTTGACCCCAAACAATTATTAATTATTATTTATTTTATTGGCAGCAAACCAAGAAATCTATTATTCATCCAGCCCTACTCTGGACTGCCCCAGTTACTCCCTGGCTGTTCCGTGCCGATCTGCTTCTTCTAAAGATCCATCTCCATGTGCTTGCTTGTGCTGGCCTGCCCCCTCTGGGTGGTTTTAAGGTTGCTTTTTATTATGGTGCCAGCTGTGAAAGGGATTTTCGCAGTTTAGCAACACTAGAGCACAAAGAGAATGAATGCCAGATAGCACTGAAGGGAGCCTAACTGCTGAAAATCCCAGGTTATCAGTAACACCTCGAGAGTCATAATTAATCTTCAGTTAACCAAGAGTTTAGGTTATCTGCAGTCTGGTATAAAGGGTTTTGTTTTGTATGCACAATAGTGTGTGTTTGTGTTTGTTAGAGAGGGAGAGAGAGTGCCCTCTAGGGATATTGCAAAGGATATATCTGGCTTTCAGGAAGGTTAATTTTCACAGCTAAACAAGTTTTGTTCTCTTTGAAAGCTATTGGTATTCCTGTTATCTTCTATTAGCAGGAATGTGATAAATGGTTCAGCCCACCTCTTAGGCAGCTGTGAGGAAATTATTTGAATTCAACTAATAAGTTTCTTTTTATGCCTAGAGTTAATTATTACAGCTGGTGGTGAAAATGTGCCTCCGATCCCAATTGAAGATGAGGTCAAAAAGGAACTGCCCATTGTTAGCAATGCTATGTTGATTGGAGATCAAAAGAAGTTCTTATCAATGTTGCTGACCTTAAAGGTAAACTACTCTTACTGTTGATTTTGACAAAATCACACCCCACTAAACTCCTGAGATCTAAAATCTTCTAGATACCTTGTTAGTTTAATGAAGCCTGAAGTCTAGGGGTGAAAAGACTTGAAACTTCCTGGATATTTTTCTGGTTTGAAAAATAGCAAGTGTGTGTGTGTGTGGTTCCACATTGGGAAAAATGTTCAAATTACAAAGTCTGCTGGCTTTACTCACACTGGTAGATTTGCTGTGAGCAAGCAGGATTTGGCCCTTATGCTGTATAGCAGAAAAAATACTTCACATTCATTTCTAATATTCTTCCATAAACAAAGCAAGACTTACTTTCAGTCTAAAATTCAAATTCACTTGCATTAAGAAAAACCTGGAAGAGCAGAAGTGAGGTCTCCATGAGAGTTCAGCATTTGCCTTCTCTATAACGGCTGTTGTCACTTTGCACAGGCAGAGTCCTTAGAATTTTAAAGTCTCAATACATAAAAAACAAAAGGCTACACAGTTTCATAGCTACTTACACAAAAGGCTTTTCTGGCCATGTTTTCTCATTACAATTTATGCTTAAGACAGAGAATGTTTACTTTCTAACAGACCCTATTTTCCACCTATTTGTTCCTTTTGGGAAGAAATCAAAGAATGAATTTAGGAACAAGATTATGAATAGCTGAGCTACAGGATCAAGCCCAACTGAAAGATTGTCCTTTGTTAAAATGCAAATATTATAGTAACAGAATGAAAAAAAGGGCCCAGTATATTATTATATAAAACTTCTTGTCTCGGGTGTCCCAGGGTTAGTCACCCTTTATATTTATTATCTCTGTCACTGATTCCTCCCCACCACCAAGTGTAAAAAATATATATTTTTTCTAATTTTAAACAGCAGCTCTGTCTCGAGAGATCAAACAGAACTATACAATTTTCAGTAGGCCATTTTTGTAAACAGCATCTTGAATACATTTCTTGAAATAACAATGCAATTGATTTGGAAAAACACAGGGTATGTCTACAATGTGATAAAAAGCTCACAGCACCCAGTCTGAGAGCCTAGATCAGCTGACTTGGGCTCCAGGGCTTGGGCTGCAGGGTTAAAAATAGCAGTGTAGAGGTTTGGGCTTGGGCTCAAGCCCAGGCTCTGAGATTCCCTCTCCCTTACAGGGTGTCAAAGCTGGGCTCCAGCCCAAGCCCAAATGTCTACACTGAAGTTTCATAGTGCTGCATCCTGAGCCCCGCAAGCCTGAGTCAGCTAACTGTGGCCAGGTCTTTTAATGCAGTGTAGACATACCCACAGTGCTAAACTTATTCAGAGTATATACAGAGCTTTTTCTATGTTAAATATTTTGACATGTTTCAAATGTGATCATGTCACATACATGACGATCACATATTAGCCAGCCTGTTTGCATTGTGTGGCCAAATTGACAAACTATCTCTCATCTAGCAAGAGTCTACAAATGGTCCCATTTTGTAGACTTAGGACTGCAGTTTGGACTGTTTCACTTAAGTTTTGATACTCTGAGCTGCCCTCAAATCCCACTGGTTTGAGTGGGGATTGAGGACACTTAGTGCCCTATTGGAGCCAGCCATTAATACTGAAACTCTGTCACTTGATATTGTAGAGTGCTCTGGACCCAGATACATCCGATCCTACTGACAATCTGACAGAGCAAGCCAGAGAATTCTGCCAGAAAATTGGCAGCAAAGCCACTAAAGTGTCAGAGATTGTGGCAACAAGAGATCAGGCTGTTTACCAGGCCATTCAAGAAGGAATCGACAGAGTCAACATGAAGTCCACTGCCAGTGTTCAGCATATTCAGAAATGGACAGTCCTGGAAAGGGATTTCTCCATTTCTGGTGGAGAATTTGGTGAGACCTCTGCATACTAATCTATACTGAGATACTAAGTGAATACAGGAGGGGTGTGGAGTACTGTAAGATTGGGATTTCTATTTCTCAGGAATGGTGGAGATGGGAGTTATATAGCTCTTCCGAAACAAGTGACAATTCTCTGATAGCAATTCAGACTGTCAGATTACAGAACAATGATATTGATACAATCTTAGGGATGTCAACCACTCCAGGATAAAATCAATTCATATTACAATTTGAAATTTAACCCATGGTTTGTGAAATATGGGAGCTTCATAAAAACCTTAATATAACATACGAGTAAGTTATCCTTGATCAATTTTTTTTTAAATTAAGAAATTCAAGAAGTCCTACAATTTTGGTGCCAGAGAAAGAATCAAAAATACAAAAAAAATTATATAATCTATATGCCAACCTATTTAATAATTGTTAATTGTGTCCACAGCTTTTTCTCTTTTTAGAAGAAGGTAAAATGAAGTCAGTTTAATCAGAGAAAACAAAATCTTATTGTAACCCTTGCTTAAAAATTAACCAGGAAATCAAGGTCATTTGGCAGCCAAGGCCTGTCTTTTGTGGGGAGGGAAAATTATGAGCAATAATTAAATAAATAAATATATGTTGGTGAAAGATGTTCTAGTTTCTTGCTTCACCAACTTTAACTTCTAACTAATGGAATACAGAATATTTATGCGGACCCCTATAGGTATTTAAAGATGTATTGTGTGCCCGGGATCCCAGGGGAGTCACACTGAGGTAACTCAATTCAGGCAAACTGCAAAGAATGGGGCAGGCAATCCCCAAAGCTGGTGGATATTCCAATACTTAGATTTACCAAGTCAGCACAAAACAGCTTCTATAAGACCTCACTGGTTACCCAGAAGCCAATGATACAGTTCCCTTAAAGTAACTCAGCCTCCACCCAGACACCCAAGTCAAATATGATGAGGATTACTGAAAATCTTATTCATCATATAAGAAAATTCTACCAATCCCAAAAGATCAGACACATTACCTCCCAGATTAATGAATATTCCAGTAAGCGTGTAAGGACACGCTTACAGCCAATCCTTATTAACTAAACTAAAATCTATTAAAAAAGAACATATTGGTTAAAAGATCAGTATACATGCAGACATGAGTACCATTCTGAGATCAGTTTTATAGTAGAGATGGTGAGCGTTGTAGTTCAGAATTAGTCCAATGTTCATATTCAGGGTGATCCAGGCAGGACTGGAGATGACTTATGACTCAAGCTTCCCCACATAAAGCATCAAGCAGATCTGAGATAAAAATGATCAGGACCCAAGACATCTTTATACAGTTTCAGGCCTTCTCTTTACAGCATGGAGTCCTTAAGCGAACAATAGGCAATCAGAGAGACTTTGAAGTAGACCTATTTCCTAAGCATCACCGGTAATTAGCTACATGGATTAACATAAAGCAATTGCCTGTTTTCCAACATTCACAGAGAGATGAATACAGTAATATTATTATTTTTACAGTTCATTTAAATGTTAAGATCTCCTTTTGATCTCTGAATTAACAGAATACAGCATAGACAGGAACCGTTTGGTTACATGTTAACCTCAAACAAGATATAAGTACACACATACAATTAGTATCACCTCTAATTGCTAATAATACAGGTTTACATTTCAAAGTTCTAGCTTATGTGACATACAATGGCCCTAATTACCATTTACATACTTTTCTAACATGTCTCTAAAGGTTGAATTTGGGTCATTTATCCTGCAGGATGCTTACCCTTTCTGGCCATGTGTCACATATTGTATGAAAGATTTACACTGTTGCCAAATACACAGAAGATCTAGTAAAGGAGGAAAGGGACCATGTCAAAGGTGGGAGGTTAATATACATGTGGGGGGCCTGTTTCTGTCAGTGTTAGTTTCTTCCAGGTTATAATCTTACCCTTGAGCAGCATCTTGGATAATACTGTCTAGCGGTAAAATTTTCAAAAGTGCCAAAGTCACATGCCAGTTGTTCAATACCAGAATGATTTCCGATCAAGTGAATTTGAACTGTGCTAGTGGATGAAAAGTTTGAGGCCTTGATTCCTTCATTCACAACATTATTTCAGAACAGAAAAATTCTGTATTCTAGTTTGTGGCTGAACTGAGATGTCAGAAAAATAACAGTGTGGTATCCATTACATTCTATTTCTTTAATAATGCAGACAGCATGTCGTCCTTCCTCTAACCTTATAGGGTTATAACAATGGGGTGTCCTTTATAGGAATGGGGTTCATGTTTACCAAGTAGATAGATATGACTTTTTTCCAAGAAGCTGATTTTTTTAAAATAAAGTGTCTTGGGCATAAATGAATTGTGGGGCCCATCTACTAGGGCCTACTGGAGGTTGTTGCAGTTGTTTGAGAAATAATGCGTGCATTTCTACAGCCCTGATGACTTATTTCTTTCCACTCAAATCCATCCACACCATAGCAATAGTTACCTTCCCTGTCTACTACATCTCATCCCACTGACTTAAATCCCTCCAATAGCTTCTTGACTCATTCTGTCTCAGGTTGAAATTAAGCTTCTCCTTCAAGGCTCTGTACTGATACCATCAAATGATTAGCTACACCAATTATACTCTTAGCATGCATCCATGTGTGTGAGAGTGGATCCTTTTTTGGTAGCAGTATCCTCTATGGCTGCATCTGCTTCCTTCCACCCTGCTGACTAGTGTAGCTGAGGGCATACTTAGTTTCTTCTCTCCATCCATTCTGACTCAGTTATCCCCTATAGTCTCCGTGAGTGGAGTAAGCATATATCTCCCAACTCCTATTTGAGCCCTGGCTACAGTAATGCTGAGTTATTACATTCCTTGCTCCGTTCAGTATTATAATGATTTTGTCTTTAGTGCATATCACATGAGATTGGGGGAGAGGGGATAGAGAGAAAAGTAAGCAAAACACAACCTCACAGAAAGTAAGATGCAATTTTTGGGAGGACCCTGTGAGTATGTTACTCTAGGTTATTTGAACCCAAACCTATGGTAACTAATCTCTGTTTTCCAGGTGATATCAGGAAACAAATTGGGGGGGAACAGCACCTCCCTCTGATAAATGATTGGTATACATGAGTGCTTCTACCCAAAAATCCTTGTTTTTATTGAGTACAAAGCACACATCTAAAATAGAAATAACTTAGAGCACCCCGGAATAGAGTTACCCGAAGTCTGAGGCAGTATCCAGTGACAGCAGCAGGTTTCTGGTGGCTGGCCTTCCTCCAACGCGCTGGGGAGATAGCTGTCAGACTGCAAGCTCATAGAAATCCTCTCAGAAGAACTACTCCAAAGTACACACACTAACTAAATTCTTTTATACGTAATTCAAAACAAAGCATAACTCAAAATAACCCCTAATGGGCTGACCATTTCCCTAGCAACAGCAAAGAAATCTCAATTTCTTCTTATCAGTAAAGCAACTCTAGCAAAAAAACGTACAGGTAGGCACCCAGACCAAGGTCAGCTATCCTTTAATACTACAGCTGAGCAGATGTTTTTGTCTGCCTAAGCAAGGCCAAATTCTTTCTCGCGTTGTGGGGTCCTCGCTTCCAGCCCATGGTGGCTAAGTGCACAGGTGGCTGCAGGTTATGTCAAGTCCAGGGCTCTTGTAACAAGTAGACACAACCCTGCTAAGGGCAGGTCTACACCAGAAGTGCTATGTCGGTGTAACTGCATTGCTGTAGTGTGTCTGGTGAAGGTGCTCTATGCCGATGAGAATTCTCTCATATCGGCATAATTATCCACCTCCAGGAGAGGCAGAAGCTATGTCAGTGGGAGAGCGTCTCCTGCCAACATAGCGCTGGTGTGAACAACACTTAGGTTGCTGTTACTTTCATTGCTTGGGGTGTGTGTGTGTTTTTCACACCCCGAGGAACGCAAGTTAGATTGACTTAAGCAATAGTGTAGACCTGCCATAAGAGAGGGCTCTTTAACTAAGGACATTAAGGGAGAAAGCTTGATTAGTTCTCTTAAAGTATTACTAAACTGGGCAGTAGCTATTTTGTTACCTCTGGTCATGAAGCCTGACATTGCTTTGTCCACAAATCATTTGGACTGAACTACTTTGTTTCTGCCCCAGCTATTCTACAGTTCCTATGGGAGATCAGCCATTGAAGCAACAGGAACATCTACTAGTCAGTCCCTTTGCAGGAATGATGTACTAGGGCTTGTTGACCCTCCAGCTAGGAAACTTTGCTGTAATTTCTCTCTCCTCTTGTAATCAACTTTGGTATGTTTTTTGTTTTAGGTCCTACGATGAAATTAAAACGACTTGCTGTGCTTGAAAAATACAAAGATGAAATTGATTCATTTTACAAAGAATAAAGCTAGTCTTCGTGCCAAGTATTGTCTGCAAGTTTCCCATGAAGCAAAACAAATTCACCAACTCTGTGTTGCCGGAAACAGCTCCCAACAAATGCATTTGAGGATTTACTTTTTTAGGCTAGCACACCTACCATTTGTTTTGCACCCTATGCAACAGGCATTAGAAGAGAAACATCCATATAAAGATCTAGTTGTAATTCAGCCTGCAAAGTAATAAAATTTCTTGCTACAGATAAGTATTTATATTGCCCGTCGTGAATATTTTACTTTTGGTCTTAAATGAGTTAAACTTAATGACATACTAATGTGAGTTTAACTGTTTATTGTAAGGATGTAGCTCGTATTCTTATGGGGGGGGGGGTAAAAGAATAAGAGAAGACTAAGCAACACCCTGATGGATATTTCCTTACAGTTTTTATAGTTCTGTAATAGGCTAAATTGATTATAATTCAAATGTTTGGTAGACATAACTAATCAAGTGGCACTGTTTAATGAAACTGTTACATCCTCATGGGGCTCAATGGCTATTGATACTAACTGAAATTAAAACATCAACAGCTCTGTAATGTTTTCAGTGAAGAGCATCTAAATAATCTTGTACCAAAAGAAATGCTACATATTGTGGCCTAATTAATTCCTCTTTCCAGCCTTGTAGCTTGTCAAGTGAGTTCTGGATTGACCATCCCAAAAAAAGACAATGAAGATTTTTTCAATCTTTGGTTCATGCTGAAAGACACTTCAGTTTAGCATTTCCCAAAGAGTCAAGTGATGAGTTGGTGGGCATGAACAGAAATAACAGCTCAAGATCAAAATCTAGACCAGGTCAAAGGATGTCTCACTCAATGCAGGGGCCCTGATTCAGAGTGGATAAAAGTCATGATTTTAAAAAAAATATTTAAATTCAGGTTTATTTAAACAAAACTATTTAAAATTAAATTTAAAGTGACAGTCTCTAAAAGCCTAAACTTATCTATTAATCATTTAAATTAAAAATAAAGCAGTACATTTGCTGTTGAGTTTTAAAGACAATCAAAGCACTGAATTGGTGGGAATTTCTGACTATGCACTTGGAACTAATTTGTTAAAATACTCAACCAGCTTTTGACAGCAGTAATCTTTTCTGCAGGTGTAGAGGGAGTATTTTCTTCATTTCTGTTTATTCAGCTAGTTCAGTTCAATGACTAGTTCATTCAAAGTTAAGAAACCAATTGGAAGTTGGAAAAAAAGAAGAGCTTATTTTCCTCTTCCAATCTGACTAACAACCAGCTGTAAGAGGATGAGCTTTACTAGTACTAAAATCTTCATGGACATAGTGACTAGAAACAATCAGTTCAATTCACTAATTACAGATACCTCCTTTGTTTAATAAATCAGTTCATTTTAAATGCAAAACATGTTTTGACGAGAGAAAAGTTTGTACCCAGCACATAATGTAGTTTAATAAAAAAAAATGTAAATGCTGTTTGTGCATTTAATTGAATTTGGATTTCCATCTAAATAAATCTTGACACAAATTGCAAGTAAAAATTTAAGAATCTGATTAAATTAAACTATGTAATTGCTTAAGTGTACAGCTAGCGTATCCTCCTGCTTAGCAAAAAGAAGGAAGTTTAGAGTAAAAGGTTCTATTTAATTGCGAATGATTGTTTAATGGTTACCAAGAAGAATCACCCTTTCTTATAACTGAAGTACTAACGCAAAACAATTAAAATCAGTGATTTAAATCAATCAATCCTGTGCTGATAACAAGCCGGAAAACTAACTGTAATACCAGTCATCTTGAAGTTTTCCATCTATTTGCAGCACTTTGCAAAATGCTTACTGCTAGGATTTTGAGGTGTGTGTGTTTGGCTACTCTGTCCCAACAACAACATTTGCTTTAAACACGCGCTTGTTAAGAGTTTGAAATCTTATTTATATATTAGATCTTTACAAACCTCTGGTACACCACCTCCTCCCCACCAAACCAAATTGCTTAAAGAGCCTGATTTTGATATCTGGTCCTTATCAAATGGAAGATAGCACCATATGAAGTGGAAGTTCTACAAAAAGTTTGTCCTTTACTGAAAATCATGTTACAGCAAGTAAGAAAACATGCTCAACTGTACCTCCTCTATACATAACTGATATTTGCAATAAGATGTATCTACTCAAAGCATTAAACAAGTCAGCAGCCTAGGCTTATAAAAAACACAACAAATGGTATGACTTTGGGAAGTCTTTATTTTCTCACTTTGTGCGTAAACGTAACTCAGTTGCTTACTTAGCATAATACAAATGAATCAAGAGAATAGCAACCACACCATGCACATTCAAATCAAGCTCAACCTCTGCTGTGGTACATCCAAGAGAAGAAAAATTACCTTTATCACTAGAAGCAGTTATGAATACACAAGGAAAAAAAATCTTTGTCCTTATCCCTGCCATAGGATAGCAGAAGTATAACAAAAGCTGGGATGCTTATTTTGCAGGGGAAAATGAAGTGACTTTGCATTGCTCGGTTTTGCTTTGGAAACCACCACACTGAATAAGGAAATAAGTGAAATTAGTGGCATAGGACCTATAGACAGAATTAAGCTGAATACAATTGGGGTACAGATCAGAACCATAACCAGGAAATTTGACTTATATGTATGTTAAAGGTTGTAGGGATGGAGTATTCTAAGACATTTAGGTCAGTATCTGTCACGTGTGTCCATTATATCACTATATGGAGATGAGAAGAGGACTTAACTTCATGGTCTTTGCTAGGCTTAGTGAGCAAATGCCTGGAAACCTCATATCCACTCATATAGTGAAGACAGATTATAGGTTCCAGAAATATTAAGCAACAGAACCAAAATTATAGATCATTGTACAAGAGGATACTCAGTTTCAAGCTCTGTAGCAATCCCTTGTTATCTCGTCGATTACATTCAGAATTTGAGGAAGTTACTAATCAGTACATTTAAACATCAGAACAGACAATGCAATACATAAAAACAAAGTATAACAGAAAAACTGTAGTACAAAGCTACAGAAAATTTATATTTCCGCCTGACACTATAGAGTGGAATTCAAGGAATTTTATCATCTACTCATTAGGAGAACTCTATTGTAAAATAAGTAAGAGTCTTCCTCTCAGAGCCACCTTACAAGAATATTTGGATACGTAGGTTTGTAAGATTTTACTTTACTAGCATTATTTCTCACATCTGTTTTGATGCCTTGATTTTTATACAGAAACATATTTTAAGAGAGATTAAATATCTGTAGGGTTTTAAGTCTTTATTCATGCATTTAGAGAACTTTGTTTTTCTTGGAACATCACAGCACCTGAAAGTGTCTCTTCATTGCTTTTGATACAACATTCCTAGTAAGTTTCATACCCGTTTGTTTACAAAAGTGTCTTCTTGTGCTATTTTAAGGCCGAAAAGCCTATTTTATTCCATTCTAAGACCAATAAAATAGATTTTAAGCTTTCTTTAAAAGGTGCTTTTATAATCATGATAATTCAGTCATCTTGATATTTACAGCAAGTCTTTTGAGAAGTAAAAACCACTTAATTGAAATGTAAAATGGTAAACAATTCCAAGTGATACAATAAAGGAATCCACTTATACAAAAAAATGTTACTAGAGACAAGTAATAAATAAAACAAAGCACTTGGAAAAAGTCCACTGAAAGCAGGCACAAATGTTATTTGTATCCATTTGGGCTAAATTTATTAACAAAATGGCCCCATCTAAAAACTTTGCTCTCTCTCGAGATAGGCAAACCAAATGTATACGAATTGCAGATGACTACATAATGTATTTGTAATGTGTCCATTTGGAGTGATTGCAACATTAGTGATATGAGGAAACTTTAGTCAATATCCTGTACTCTGCGACAGATCTCTGCTGTGTAGTCCGAACACTTGGCATTACCTCCCAAATCTTTTGTTAGGACCTGAGAGAGAAAAAAATAGACATTTTAATTAAAAAAATGTAATCTGAGTATTGCAGCTTCTAAATTAATTTTACATTCTGAACACAGAGTATGTGGTATTATGTATGCAAGGGAACAATGTTAACTGTCCAAGGTTCTCTGTACTGCAACAATTTTAATAGAAATGAGCTTGCAAATTGCAGCATGTACAGAAGGCAAATTCAAACAGCAAGTTTTCATCACAGTAGTAGGTTATCACATGTTAAGACTTTAGCACCATCATTATGCTGGATAGCCATCTGTCTTGGATGGTTTAGACACAACAAATCCTGCACCTTAGCAGGGGGTTAGACTAGATGACCCTTGCCGTTCCTTCTAACCCTGTGGTTCTATGATTAGTGATTTTATCTTTATTCATAATTTAGCTGGAATTACTGCCTAAACATATTTAGCTAAAACAGTTGTAAGTCCTCGGGTTTCCTAGCTGCACAGTAAAACAGCTCCCAACTATTATAACTTCATATTTCCAGGAGTTAGCTTTCTGAAGTTTTTTTGGGAGCTTAGGTTTAGGGCAAAGATGAGTAATTCTTACACAATGAAACTTCTGGAGGATTTTATTTATTTATAAATAACAACCACACAACAGCAGCATAAATATAGACGTTGAAACTTAGCATGTTAATAGTCCTTGAGGAGGCAAGGAGGCGTGGCTTCCCTCAGACGCGGATGTGGAGGGAATGCAGCAAGCCGCCTGGTGGGTGGAACCAGGAGGGCCACACCCCATACGTCGGAAGCAGAGGGGCGGGACAGGAAGAGGAAGTATAAAAAGCTAGTTTAGCAACTCAGTTGAGAAGGAACTGCTGAGAGAGACAGACACTTCTTCCTCGCTGCTGGAGTGGGATGCTAAGGAGAATTGCTGCTACTCTGAGGACGTGCACAAGCTTCCAGAGAGCCCTGCCACACCCGATGCTGAGGCGCTACTACCAAGGGTGAGAGTAGGAAGCAGCCGTGGGGAACCAGACTATTGTCTGGCAGTGGTACTGCTAGAAGCACGGTGAGCATGTTTCGGGTGGATTCCCCACTGACTCTGGGCTGGGATGCGGTGCAGCTGGGCAGACCCGCGTCTTCCTACCCCTGGGGCGGGCAGTACTCCCTCTCCTTAAGCCAGGAGGCCGGCGCTCCTCAGGCTCGCCCCTGTCTGAGCCCCATAGACTGTGCTTCGTGCTACAGCTCTGTCTGACTGCAGGCCAGAGCCCAGACTGCTTGTGGCCCTGTCCTGCTTGAAGGCTGTGGCCTACTGAGTACCACTAATTCCCCCTTTCCTTATTTT